TATATGTCCATTCTTTATTGGAAAATAATACAACTTGTATCTTTGGCACGTCAATATTTTGTGTAAATTCCTAACATTTTAATCTTATTATTTTTTCCATTGTCTATGTACATATTTATATATAAAAAAACAGTCGAGTTTGTGCAGGACATAATGTCAAATGAAGTAACATCGGAATATAAATCCTCAACAACTATGTCTCTATAAAACAGGAAACTATTTTTCATGAAAGATTATTATGACTAAGATACTGACTATTAAGTTTTTTTTTCTCTGAGTATAATTAAGACACTATAACTGAGACAGTATAATTCTTTTGAAATGTTTACCTTTTTAACATTCCTTTTCTGATGAAGTGGTATTGTGCATTCTCTGTCGTAAGCGTTTCTAATTAACAATAAAATCTGCCGAAATTGAGCATTTACAAATCTATTTACATTCTATGGCTGCTAATATAATTAATGACCATCTACGACCCGGAAAACGGCTTCGTGATGCCCAGTGAACTAGCCACTCCGGGGAACGACTGTGTTAAGACTAGACGAATAAAACGTTCTTTAGCACCTTGGGACACTTGTAACGCACGCGAAGAAACAGAACACGAGTTCGAAGACCTAAATTGAACCGAAGATTCAAATCTAATGAAACGCAAACCCTGAATGAATTCTTCTTTCTTCTTTTATAGGGTTTTAGATCTGAATTATTTCAGACCTAAAAGCGTTTTAGAATTTCGAAATTCAGATCAAATGAAGCTTCGAATCACAATGAAACGCGAGCCCAAAGTGATTTCGTACTCTAAAGTATGTTTTACGTACAAACAGTTCCAGTGTTCCGTTCCTCACAGGAAGCATTTTAATGTGAAGGATTTATATGTAGAAGGAGCTCTCGTCACTAGTATACTGTTTGTCTAGGCTTCTTAAAGACTCGTGTGGCTGTGACGTGGATGCCTTTGCGTCTGGGATTGTTATATACGTCCCTTTCGTTGAAGAAATGGAGACAATATCACATGAAGCACTCTCCTTTGTCGGCGAGTGCCTTGGTGCGACATGCAGGTCCTCGCAAGGTTGAGAAGTACACGAAAGTACATTTGTCTCCGACGGTGAAACTATAACCCGTAGGTCGGCGTCAGCGTTGGGTTCTGGGGATACTTTGGTCGAGAACGTCAAGCTGGGTTCTAGGGAGAGGGTGAGGACGTGCGACGGGCAGGGCGTACAGGGGCGTGGCGGAGACGAAGGAGGCGTAGGCGTGTCTGACGACGTGGACGATCTAGACGACGACGGCGAGGAGAATCCCGAGTCGGAGGGACTTCTGGACAGCATGAAGGACGAAGAAGGAGAATATAGGTCTCCCGATGGCCCCGTCAACACGCTTAAGGGGTCGGAAATAGCGGTTCTCTTGAGCATGTTTTGGAAAGAGTTCATGACGCTAATGGCGCCGTGGTCTTCGGGGTCGGACTCTGTGTCTGTGCTTGACTGGGCTAGGCTGTGTCTCCACGTCGTCTGCAAGGAAGATGACAACACCACATCAGATACAGAACGCAGAGAAATCGAACAGTTCCCGGCACTGACATGAGAATAAACGGTGTGCTGAATCTAAATGAGTTATCCTTACCTTCGCTCTGAGGAAGACGTTGCGTGACATGTTTCTGCGCAGGACGAAGGCGTAGTTGTGGCGGGAGGCCCGCGGCCACTCGCTCTGCGCCAGCAGCGGGAACTCGTCGGGATCGAGCAGCCGGTCGCTGTACGGGTTCTTGTTGACCTCGTGCACCGCGTAGTTCTTGGGGTTCTCCTTGCTGCTGTAGCAGTTGAGGAGCAGCTGCACCAGCTCCTCCGCCGTCGTGCGGTACGACACCAGCAGCGACTTGTACTGCGACTGGAAACGGGAAGGAGAGAAGCATAAATAAACGTTCTTGTGCCACTGGACTAAGAAACAAAATTCCAATTTTCAAAGGACTGAATTCCTCCTGCAAGCCAGAGGCGGCACTCACCCCGGGCATGAGGATGGAGTCGTGCACGCGCAGCAGCCCGCCGCGCCGCACGCCCACGCTGAAGCGAGCCTCCCCGCGCGGACGGCACTGCTGCAGCTCCGCCGGACACGCGTGGTCGTCCAGCACCAGGAGTCGTCGAGCGGGAGCGTCTCCGCCGGGACTTCGAACCACGACCTCCATCCTGACGTAGAACAGGTTGGGGTCGCGGTGTCGCAGACGGAACTTGGCCAGGAGCATGACCACCAGCTCGCGGCACGTCGTCGAGGACGACAGATTCATGGTCGTGTACTTGATGTCGGGCTTCATGTTCCGCATGTACACCTTCACGGGACTCTGAAGGTGCGGAAGGATCGGTTGGTCAATCAAAGTAAAAACACTTTGGAACAAAAATGAAAACGAATACGGTGAAAACACATTGTGACCAAAAAAGACAATATATACAAAATAACTTACCATTGTCTGTTCCCGCGACGCAGACAGCTTGCAAGGTGTGTGGAGATTGCAATAAGACTT